TCTTGCACCGGGCGGCCCACAGGCTCCGTGCCCGCGCCCCCCGGTCCCGCCGCGCCCTCCTGCGACGTCTGGCTGACGTAGACCACGATGATGTCGCCCTTGAAGTTCATCACTTGTCCGCTGGAAATGAACGTGGAGTTACTGTTTCCGGTCACATTTCCTAGAGGGAGAGGAAGAGAACACGGTGAGGTTGAGTCAGCGCCTCCCGGTGACGCCTCGGTCTTGTGAGAGGAAAATTTCCCAGTGAATCAAGGGGCGAGGGCGCGCATCCAGCAGCCGCCTCTCCTCAGGAGGTGCAGCGGGGCTCCCCCTGGAGGCTGCTCCCTGTGGGAAGTGCAACGTGACCTCACCTGGCCTAGGAGGGTCAGAGGATAGAGGAGGAAAGGAAGGGGTGAAGAGGGAAGGGAAATGAGGTAAGCCTGTAGGCTATACCGACCTACCACCATTTGTCAAGGGAACTCTAGGATACTCACAGGACAACCCACCTGGACCGTGGAACCACAGTCAAGATTCAGATGTTTGTTACGTGTGCGTGTGTGTGTGTGTGTGTGTGTGTGTGTGTGTGTTGAATCAAGGGGCGAGGGCGCGCATCCAGCAGCCGCCTCTCCTCAGGAGGTGCAGCGGGGCTCCCCCTGGAGGCTGCTCCCTGTGGGAAGTGCAACGTGACCTCACCTGGCCTAGGAGGGTCAGAGGATAGAGGAGGAAAGGAAGGGGTGAAGAGGGAAGGGAAATGAGGTAAGCCTGTAGGCTATACCGACCTACCACCATTTGTCAAGGGAACTCTAGGATACTCACAGGACAACCCACCTGGACCGTGGAACCACAGTCAAGATTCAGATGTTTGTTACGTGTGCGTGTGTGTGTGTGTGTGTGTGTGTGTGTGTGTGTGAGAGAGAGAGAGAGAGAGAGAGAGAGAGAGAGAGAGAGAGAGACAGGTGCAGGAGATAGCTAATGACCCAGCTATGGTCACGGAGCAGCCATCTGTCCACCCTCTTCTCCGACCGGGTCTCTGTCATTCAGCTTTCATGGAGGTCCCTAAGGGCTCATCCCTGGAGAATGAAGGGGCTGAGTGGCTCAGCTTTTAGCAGGGGCTAATATATTTCCTTACCATTAAAGCAGTTTTACTCCCAGGGAGAAAAATGCTAAAAAGGAAAAAGTAATTCTACAAATCACTTTTTCCTTCCAAGCCTTGAAAGGTGTCCAGTAGTGGGGGTTCAATCATCATTCGTTTTTGTTTCTTTGTTTTATTTTGATACAGGGGATCAAACTCAGGATCTTGCACTTGTGAGGCAGGCATGGTGCCACTGAGCTAAATCCCCTGCCCTATCATCCTTTCTTTGCAGGTGACTGGAAGTAGCCAGTCTTTAACAGATCCTTTGAAAAATAAAAAGTCCAACAAATGTCAGGAAATTTGCCAATTTTAATTTATTTTAAAGACTGGTGCTCCAGAAACTTCCCAGGTGAAAATAAGTACCTTCAAACCAAGCAGACCTGGAAACTCCCTGAGGCTCAGCATCACAAACAGAATCTTTTACTCTGACTCCGGAACATGAATATCAAAATGATTCCTCCATATTCACCTTCATAATCTGTTCTCTATCATTACCTGGCTTCTAATAATGTATATAAAAAAAAATGAAGTTTCTGTCACCACTCTACAAGAAAACATTTCCCCCAAAATTGGAGGGCACATTTTAGACCATCTGAATAAACTATGTACCAATAGTTATGCCAGAATTTTCTCTAGAGGGCCTTCTTTCACCTACTGGGTGCCTCCAGGGAAGCCAAGGCAAAGGCACAGTGAAAAGCCCACAAAAACACAGCAATTTCAAGTGTGAGCAACAAGCCAAAGGTCACAAAGGGAAGGTGTGACTCCTTGGGTCTCCCCTCTAGATAGCTGGATGGGGAATGCTCCAACATGGGCAGTAGCAGGGATTTGTCTAGTAACTCCCCACTCAACACGAGGGAGGCCAGCTGGTATTTCCATCTTCAAGCTGAGGCTCCCTTCCCCTAAAAGACACTGATAGGTGCCCTTAACAGTATACTCTGAGCTCTCCAGGATGTCTAATTTAGCTTTTTGCTCTGACCTGTTACCAAGTTAGTTCTCAAGTCTATTTTTACCAGATAAACTCATTAGAAAAGTCAAAATGAGAAATAAATACCATAAACACTCTAATCTGATTAAAAGCTTACCATGTTTATTTAATAAAGTCAATAATTTAAAATCTCTTTGAAGTATACCTTTTCTCAGAATAGTTCTTCTGTTTTATTATTGTGATATCACTGCTGGTTCTGTTATTCTTCAATAGAATATAAAACTACACAGAAGAGATCTCTAGTCACTACATGATTGAGTCATGGCTTTCAGTTTAATCTCCTCATATTTAAATTTATCTGGTGGCATCATATATATAAGATTTATCCACCATGTAAAATTTCATTTTCCAACAAATTATTGTCATGAATTTAGTTTACTCTTTCCTTGTCAGAACCTTCAGTTAGGCTGAGCCCCTGTAAAAGCCTGGCTTTTGGCATCATGTTACCAAATCTCATGTTGAGATTCTCACATCTTGAGAATATGATTCTAAGTCATTGTTCGTGGAAAATAATACCTTTGATACTGATATCCTTAAAATTCTATAGGACCAATGTTCATTCTTGTTTTCTATTTTTATTTCCAAAATGGAACTCAAACCCTCTCACCTAAAGGATATATTTTCATAGTCCAGAATCCTTTAATTCATAGACTGCATCAAAAATAAGAAAATCAGGCTGGAAATTTAAGCCATGCCATCAACTGCCTCGTAAGTGCAAGGTCCTGAGTTCGATCCCTGATACCAAAAAAAAAAAAAAAAAAAAAAAAAAAAAAAAAAAAAAAGCTTTTAAATTCCTGAGAAGTAGGAAGTAAAAGTAAAGTTACCTAGAAAGAGTATGAGATTCTCGTTTATTCTTTGTGTTTTTATCAAAGGTATAATTTATGAAAAGATAACCTTGGATCAAATCCATCATACTAATTTTTGTAGGCAGTATTAAACTGGAACAGACTAAAGTTTTAAAATTCTACTGCTATGCCAATAACAGTAAGTCCAGCAACCTGGTCTTCTTAGGTATATGACTTGTGCAGCTGCACAGGGCCAGGTCCTCAGGAGAGCCTTGTGCTTGGCTGGATGCTCCGCTGTCACCAGCTGAAAAGCCTATTAGTTCTTGCACAAGGGAATTGCATTTTTATTTTTCACTGGACTCTGCAAATTACATTGCCAGTTCAGAGGAGGAGGCAAGACTTAGGAGCACTGTTCTGTTTTTTTTTCTCCCATAGATGCTCTAATTTAACAGTGCTGTTTCAGAAGCTAACATTTTATAAGCTGGACATGTTTGAATAAAAAGCATGGCTACTCACTGGGTGAGAGCAAAAGGCCTGGGTAGCCAACAAGCTGTGAGGAGTCAGTATGCTCGGGGCTTCAGTGGTCCCTTTTCACAGAGGAAAGGAGAATGAAGGTTAATCTGAGGGTTAAGTGGACTAGGTTAAGAGACTGTCCATTAGAATATTAAGGATAATAGAAACAATACTCCAAATACGAAGTCTGTAAATGCTAGGTGTATTGTAAACACTAGCTTAAATATTTCTTGTTTATTTTTCTTCTGCTTACTAGCCAACCTTGTTTGCAGGATCAGAACTGTCTAACAGCCTCTTTTTCCATGGCTTGTCATAATCCAGATTCACCTGAACATAATTAAATGACATCAGTATTGTGGTGAGGTTTCAGTCTGCTAAGTACAGGTGAGTGAGTGGTGACTGAAAGGGATAGAGGGGATAATTGTTTCCTGACTAAAGGGAGGTGGGACAGCAGGGAGAGCAGGGGTCCAAAAGTTCTCTGTTTTTGTCCTGACTTGGTTGTCACTAGTAGTAAGAACTTGGGACAAATGACCCCAAAACTCACTATGTTTCAGTCTGTCCATTTATAAAATGAGCATCAATTATCGTCGTGCTAGGTTGGTATGTGCAGCCACACAGAGCAAGCACATCATTCATATTTGTTAAATAAACAAATGAATGTGTGAAGATCCTTCAGGGAGGCTCAAGGTCAAACAAGATGGTGGATTTGAAAATGCTTGGGAAAGAATTAGCCACAGGTAAAATGATGGCATTACTACTCCCAGAAAGTAATATTAGTGCTCATGGAGCTCCCAAGGACACAGAGGTTCATGAAACAGGCTGAACAGTAATATTATATTTCCATCCCTGTCTTGTTGGAAGATTTCAATATGCCAAAGCCTGAAAAGGCATTTTCCTGTGGAAACCAAACTTTCTTTTTTCTGCTCTTAAATCATCAATCATTATGATTGCCTCTGGTCAGAACATTCATCTAAATATATCTACACTGAGTCCCACAGTCTCATTTCTTGTCATGCTTGTCAGTGTGCTCTGAAGGCTGCACTTGATTAGATCAAGGCTCAGAATGCATTGGTAATATCCTTGTTCTTTAATATAGCTCAGTCCTGAACTACTCTTGCTAAAAGGAATAATGTCTTAAAATTTACATTCTACACTTCATTTTTTCTTTTTCTTTTCCTTTCTTTTCTATTTATTTATTGATTTAGATAGGGATTGAACTTGTGCTCCTCCTGCCTCAGACTTTTGAGTAGCTAGGATTACAGGTATGTGCTACCATGCCATTTGTTCTACATTTTAGACTAGATAGCAGACTGTCCAGGGGTATGCAAGCTGGTTTGAGAGGGAAGGCCATGCATACTGGTAAAGGAGGCTTTGGGGTTTCCTTTTCACATAGTTGCCATGGTTTCTGGGTTGCTATATACCCCTGAAGGTGAGTTTTTCCACTGAATGTTGAAGACCCCCAGCAGGTTCTCTCCTCTTAGGGTGGCCCCCTCCCTTTTTGGTGACTGATAAGATGGTGTTAAAAGGGGAAGCCTGATTTGGATGAGTTTACCCCTGAGAATCTAAAAAAGGCCTGAAGCCTAAGAGAATAAAAGCTAAGTTGGGGCCAGGCAGAAAGTATTTGCAAAGGCCATATCTGATAAAGAATTTTTACCAAAGTATTCAATGAACTCTTAAAATTGAACAATAATAGAGCAAACAACCCATTTTAAAAATGGGCTAAAAACTATAACAGATGCTTCACCAGAAAAGATATTCAGATGACA